TCCCGGAGCTCGGGAGAGCCCCGCCAGGTCTCCTGGGGGGAGAACTGGAGCAGAGGGGTTTGTTGTGGCCCCTCCTGCGACTGGCAATGTGGGGGGATGTCCACTTCCTACCGAGTTAAAATTTCCAAAAAATGAAAAAGAAAGCGGCCAGGAAGAAGTTAAGTGTGGCGGAATATCCTGACTTTACTCCGGGGAAACTTTTGTTACACTCTTGGGACAGGTGTATCGAGAGGTAACGGACTGCTATTTAATTTTGAAAGATGAATGATCTATAGTGGAAATGGATGATAATATGCTGGTTGAGGAGATGACGGTGGAACAATTTCTAAGTGCATTGAAGGTTGGAATCCAAAAGGGCATTCAAGCATTGGTAAATTTACATGAAGCCCTTAGAATTCCAGAGTGGGCTGAAAATCAAGAACACGAAGTACAGAGCCCAGAGACGATATGTGGGTACAAGCAAGAGAAGGAAGGTGCAGAATTGGTATGCTCATTGACTTTAAAGCGAAATAAGAAAACGACAAAAAGGAGACATAAGAAGAGGGAGAAGATAAGAAGAAAGGGGCAAAGAATTCTGTTTAAAAAGAAGAGAAAGAGGAGAAGGGAAAGACAGGGACGATTTAAGTGGAAGACTAAAAAGGACAAAATGGGTTGGACGAATGCCTGTTTGGAAAAAAACTGAAGAGAGATTGAGAATGAATTACCACCAGTGTAAAGGGAAAAATCATGTAGACATGCTGCTATGGGGAAAAAAGCTACAGATTCATAGAATGCAAATCAAATTATATGAAAATGTTGTAATTTTTTGTTTGTTTCTTTTCTTGGCTTGACTGTGGAAGAAATGGATTGAATAGACTTGTGTATCTTGCTGTGGAAAAATGAATTGAATAGATTAGAGTCGTAATTGGTGAGGACTAGCTGATATGAATTAAAGGGGGATGGCAATATTTAATTTAATTAATGGGAAAAAGCTTATTAAATTTTTGTTTTGCTGGGTCCCTTTTGTCTACATGTCATTGGTGCTTGTCAGTTTTTTCTGTATTTTTCGCTTATTTATTCTAGAAAATGGGTGAATAGGATAAAGTATATAGAAGGTGTTTTGGTAGAAAGGAGAAAGGAGATAATATTAGTAGCAGAGAAGGCATTGTGCTGTATTAAAATGTGTAATTATAATGACAGATCATAAGGGAAATATACGAAGTAGAAAATTTAGGAAATGAATTGAGAATATATTGATTATTGGTGACTTCCGGTCTGTGGCTCGGTGATGGCGGATGCTCTCCCCTATCTCTGGGGAGAAGATCCGCGCTCCAGTGGGAAAAGGAGGGGTGCCGCCTCAAGTGGCACCCCCAGGTGAGCCTTAGTGAAAGGCTCCAAGCCGGGGGCGCTGGGGGAGGCGACCTCTTCAATGGCATAATGCCGGAGAATTGAGGCACTCCTTTTTGCTTCAATCGGTCCTTCCCCTGTGAGGCTCAGTTTTACACTGAGCATAGCTGAAACCGACTGGGACAAGCAGAGAAAGTCAGCGAATTTCAACGAAGCTACAAGAGGTCTGAGTTCATACCGGCAATGAATTGGAGAAGGAGACAAGTGGAAAAGTTTTAAAAGTGAGTTCTCCCGCCCCCCCATGGAATGCGGCATCGAGAGGGAATCCCGGACGTAAACAAACTGAACTGTGCTATATAAATGGAGGGGGGAGGAAAGAAGAGAAGCGATAAAGTGTATAAGAGACTTAACTGCATTTGTGATAGAAAAAAGGCACTCTGTGAAGAAGGGTGAGAGAGGTTCCTCTAGTGTAAACAAAGTTGAAAATGGCCGGCACGCGAGGAAAACTAGGCAAAGTTGTGGGGCGTGGCGGTCAAAGTCCGAGAGTGGAGGAGACAGCCGACGTCTTCTCCATACTATCGGAGCTGCTCAAGCCAATAAACTAAAGACTCGATGATATGAACCATCAAATGACCGCTTCAAACCAGAGCCTGGCAAAGCAGCAACAGCAGATCACCGAGCTATTTAAGAAATCGTCGCAGACAGACGAAAAGCTGAAAGACTGCACACGACACCAAAAGAATCAAAAAGAAGATTGGTCTGTTGGAACAAAGACAAGACTTTCAGGAAAGAAGATTGTTGAACTTACAAATGGAGAATGGAAATAAGAAACTTAGGTTTCAGGGGATAGCTGAAGCGCAAGGAGAAAACTTGAAAGCGATGATGGCAGAGCTTATCGCCCCGGTGGTGGGGGTCTCAACGGCAGAAGTTGAAGCAGAAATTGAGGTGATTTATCGATCATACTCAAAATATATTAAGCGGAATAACCTGCCGGGTGAAATTGTTGTCAAGTTTCTCAGAAGACAGATGAGAGATGACACCCTTAAAGCAACAGCGGCTAGTCCCCTGCAGCTGGGAACTGCAGTCATCAGGGTCCTAAAGGACACTCCGTTTGAAGTTAATCAGAAAAGGAAAGCGTACAAAGACCTGATTTCAACCCTGCAGATCAACCAGATTTCGTATTCTTGGAACTTTCCTGAAGGTGTCGTGTTCAAATATGGAGATAAAAGGGAAAAAATCGACTTGGTTATGAAAGCGGAAGAATGGTTGAAGCGGCACTTCGGATTGAAGGAAGAGGAGCAACAGAAAGGAGGTGGCGGAGCAGGCATTGAAGAAGAGATGGATGACAACCAAGGTGCAGCGGGAGGTGCTTCGGTCAGAGAGACATATGACTTGCGGCATAGAGGACCAAAATAACCCTTTACAATATAGAGACTCGTTAATTATGAAGGTGATGAAAGAGACTCGATGCACACATGTCAAGGTGGATGTAATACTAACATGGACTGACTAATTCTTTAATTCATTGATTTAAATGAAAAGTTATAAGTTCGAATTCTAACTGAATACTAACTGTTAAAGACTTTCCTTCTTGGGGTTTTAGTCATAGTGTGGGTTTAATTTTCTTGTCTTTTTACCCGGGGGTATCTTTTCCCCTTCCCCTTTCTTTTCTGTTAGTCTGTAGGTGTAACAAAAAAGTAATAAAGCTACCCTGTCTTCAGGGGATTAAAAAAAAGGAGAATATATTGATTATTGGTGAAAGATAAATTTATTGATGATTTCTATATTAGAGACGGTTTGAGTACAATCCTGATATGTGTAGGGAGGTAAACAAGGAAATCTTGAAAAAATCATAAAAAATCATAATAATTAAAAATAAGAATAAAAATAAAAATAAATCAAAGTAATACAAGATATATGTCTACTATAGAAAGTGAAGATGTTGCAATTAGTAGGAAGTTTGTTAGCAACCTGTTAGGAGGGAGCAATGAGGAATGTAAAGTGGATGTTATACTTACAGAAATTAGTAACTTATAAAGAAGTGAAGTGAATATTAATAAATAGTATTATAGGACGCGTGTATGAGAAACTCTTATTATTATTATTTAATGACTGATTGGAAGGAAAATCTATGCTGATTTGGTTGATATGTTGCTTCTCAGAATATAGAAAAGGTATAAGAAATTAATTGGATGTGTATTAATAATATGTTTGTGGATATGTGCATGATTGTGAAAACTCAATAAAAATATTATTTTTTAAAAAAAAGAAATGCAACTTTAAACTGTGGGCATCTTTCACATCTGCAGAAACTGACTATGTTGAGGTTAGACAGAGACATGAAAGCAGGCTTCTTTGAGGTTGATAGATTCTGGGTTCGTAGCTGAAGGAAAGGCAGGATAGTATGTAGAAGCTGGTGTCTTTAAGACTGAATATGGGGTGGAGACTTCCATTTTTTGGGGGATGATGAAAATACTGAGATTAGAAACCTAGGCCACTTGGGAGCGAGGTGCTATTGCCTCTACTGAAAGAGGGAGTGCAGAGGATAGAAAAGGGGGGTGGGAGTGGCATACAGGAACACTCAGTATTAACAGAACAGAATGACAGATAATCTGAAGAATGTGCCTGTCTGAATGACAAGTCTGGCTCTTCTGAGGAGGATCCTCAGTCAAAAGAGATGCAGATTTTACTTCAGAAACTGAAGAAGCTGATTGAGCTGTACAGGCTGAAGTTGAAAGCTGATGTTGAAGTCCCACAGTACCACGAGAACTGGGGTATGGAATACTACCTCCAAGACCAACTCTGCCAGTCCCGTCAGGTCTTGACAGACAGTACATTAGCAGTATCCCCAGCCTGTCCATGGAACCCTCAACACAAGGTACGTACAATCAAAATTTGCACATGTCTGAACCCCGAACTGGCAGAATGAAGATGCCAACACCCCCCAGTTCAGGGCTGACTAAAGATCATGTAGCCAGTTGGGGCTAATTGAGACACTTTGATATTTGACACATCCAAATCCTCCAGCCAGATCTCTGTCATATATGCCAGGTCAGCACAGATTTTATTATTTATAATCCTGGCATGACTGAAGTTAGGTGAGGGAACAGAAAGGATATACAATCTCAACAGTCTGATTTTGGGCTTTTTTTCCTTTTGGGTAATTCCCCAACTTTTTTTTTTTTTTTTTTTGCATACCAAGAAATTCCCCCAAGTACATAGAGATCTTTACTTTTTCAGTGAGATGGCCTGCTTTTGCTGCTTTCATGACTGGCATGAGTACCCCTGCTGCTACAGGGCATCATGCTGAATTGGGCCATCCCTCTAACATGGCACATATAAATCACCACTTTCTGGAAAACAAAGTCATATGCACAATACTAAGTTGCCTAGATTATGCTGCAACAGAAGGAAAAAACATGTAACTGGGTCAATAAATGTTAAACTTTTGCACATTGTTGTCACTTTTTGTACCGTAGTTCTCAGTATTTTTGATACAGGGATCCAGAAGTATCCTCGGCAGTGCAAACTTCACTATCGGAAATATGATAGCTATTAACAACTATATTGGTTGCAATGAATAGCTGCACATTCAGGAATATTTTTTACAAACCGATATTCTGTTTTATTGTTTTTATCTTGGTATTGTTAAATAAAGTTAATGGTTGTGTTCATTATACCTGAAATTCGTCAAATAAGCTGCAAAAGGAGACTCCAGGAATAGTTGCTACCCTGAAATGGAAAAGCTCTGATCCCTGTGGAAAAGAAAAACAGTTGTTAGTATGTAATAAGATAGGCAAGAGTCAAGTATATAGTTGCATCCCTTTCGTGTGTAGCAAGACAGGCGAGGGTCAAGTATATAGCTGCATCCCTTTTAATTACTTTGTCAAATGCCTCAGGCTGCAATTACTAAAATTTATTCAAGAGCCAGTAACTAAACTGTCCTGCCTGTTTTTCCTCATGAAGCTCAAGGTACTGTACACAGGGTTCCCAGGAGGTCTCCCATTCAGATACCTCTCAAAACCCCCACAACTTCAATGTGAAGTAGAATCACCAGTCTCAAAAGGAACAATAGATTTAGTACCCAGGGAACAGTGTCATCAAGATTTCTATTCCCATTACTTTCTGTTAAAGAAGAAATGGGGGGGGGGATAACCCATCTTAGCCGTAAGGGATCTGAACAAAATTGTTGTGACAAAAAATTTCAGGATGGGTCTCATTATAGGGTTCCACAGAAGTGGCTATACTACATCCTGTATTACTACATGACTATAAACTCATCTGGCTCCTGGAAATGTACAGGAAAGTCAATCTGAGACTCAACAGAAGTAAGATGAAGTTGCAACTGATAGCACCACCCAATAAAGCTCACCTCTACAAGGCTTTCAACTTGACTCTGAAAAGGTGAGAGCAGCATAGTAAATGCCCAGACAATCCAATGCCAAATATCTGCAGCAGTGGCAAGGCAGCTCTGGACAAATTTCTACTACCAGTGGATATTGGTACAATTTTGATGTGGCTTCCCCATCTTAATGCAGCCTGCTAATTCCGTGCACCTCGGCATTTATGCTTGCCACATGACCACAGAGAAGTCTTTGGACAGAGCTGGCTCTTTGGCTTGGAAACGGAGATGAGCACCGCCCCCTAGAGTCGGATTCGACTGGCTTTTGAGCGAGGGAAACCTTTACCTTTAATCAGATCAAAGACTTCCTGTGCAACCTTGTGAATAGTTACTCCACTCTAAGTCCACTGAAGCCAATAGGTTTAGACTGGAGTAACTCTGCAAAGGATTGCACTCTTTGTTACTAAAACCCTATTTGTAAAAATACTACAGTATGAATGAAGATGCTACTACCCATTGAAATGCCAGTGAAACTTGTTGGTGCACTCCTTTTGCAAAACAGGCTGCCTGTTGTTTGCATCAAGGTCTTTATCACAGACTGAGCAATACTTTGCCGAAATTGATATAGAATGTTTTAGCAACAGTGTTTGCTGTGAAAATTTTGAGCAGTATATATGCAATCAGGAATCTATCCATACTGACAGAGAGCACAAATCACTGGAAATAATTTTTAAGAAGCCATTATTGTCAGCTCCAAAATACCTACAATACAGGCTACTCAGATGTACAATATAAAAAAGGAAAGATAATACACACACACACAAACACGCAGAGTTGATTATTTGTCCAGAGCTGCCTTGCCACAGGAATCGCACAGAGACAGACAAGACATATGAGATACTCTGCTCACTTGATATTCTTTATGTGATATAGTGGCCAAATACTGCTAATAAAATATTAGACCCAATAAGAAATTCTGATGCACATGCAGCATTGCAACCAAGTCAACAGAAGGAGCCACATAACACTCTTAACCTTGGAACAATGTATAGTGGATAGAGAGTTTTGAAGGACTTTAGGTACTCAAGTTTGGCTTTCTTGTACAAAGTATGTATTTTATCTAAAACTTACATATATGCTTAGAGTGAGACCATCTGGATTGTACAGCGTTGTGTTGAGTCTGTGGGCCAAATATGTTCTCATTTTTAACAAGCTTGATGTTTTATTGGTAGCTGAAAAATAGTCAAAACAATCTCTGAGTGGTACTTACATGTTTCCTCAAAGCTTGGGATTCAGTAAAAACTGAATCCTATAAAGTAGGACTGGACTAAGCACAGAGATACAACTTTAAAGGATATACTTCAGTGACATTGGAGCAGTATCACAGACATGGCATCATGAGCTAGAACTTCACAGGCAAAAATGTCTAGACCTTGCTGATAAAGTGCAATGAAAGTGAAAGAGAGTAGAAACATTACTCTGAAATCCTGGTTACTGTTAACCATAGTTAATGGTGATCAAGGTACCAGCTTAATCCTGGTTAAAGCTAGCTGTGGAAGAATTTCCTACATCCCATTTCCTTCACCACCCTTCACCTATGTTATGCTTGCATTAGCCCTTAGAAGTTTCTGAGGATAAAGCTAGCTGTGGAAGAATTTCCTACATCCCATTTCCTTCACCACCCTTCACCTATGTTATGCTTGCATTAGCCCTTAGAAGTTTCTGAGGATAATTGATGTTGTTTGTGTGCAAAGGATTGGACAAAGCTGGGTTTTTTTTAATTTGTGGGGTCTACCATACCTTTCTGTATAAAAATATGTAAGGTGATGTAAGCTTTTCCAAAAACCAATACATTTTCTTTGAATCTGCCCAAATGCAGTAGCACTTGTTTTCTACTTTGGATTTTGGAAACAAGGCAATAGGCGGGCACTGAGGATGGAGATACCTGTGTGTTCCACTTTCAAGTTCAAGACCTCCAATTCAGGGGGAGGGGCAGCAATAGAAACCTTCCTTTCCAGCTGCAGGGCTTGTCAATGGTGTAAAGGCAAAGTAGGTTGTGATTACTTTTTGTGTGTGCTTCTTAACAACTATTTTCCCCCACTTTATTTAATAGAAAGGGAGCAGTAACAATACTTCGAATTAACCAATTCATACAATCTAGTACATATGTTACTACTTCAAAATTTTCCATTATTAAAATACAAGGTGATAAAAGCCGTTGCACACCTTTGTCCTTTGTCGAGAGTTAGCTAGCCTTTTCCCCACCCCACCTTTTTTGTAACTTAAGTTGCGCCAGCTAGCAGCCATGCTAGCTAGAACCCCCCCTTTATTTTAGAAGGGCTCTGCTACAGGTAATTCTCACGCAGCCTTGGCCTAAGAGTATAAAAGAGTGAGGAGATTGTAATTACTTTCTGACAACCTTTTGCACCTGTTAACAGAAGTTCACTGCCCATTTTGGAAATCATGGCAATAGGGCGACGGGCATCCTCTGGCCTCCTCCGGGCCGCAGCCTTTAAACGGGCTGCTTAAGGGAGCTTGAAGCTGGGCAGGCAGGGAGAATTATACTGGGGCTCCCTCACACAGCCCCTTTAAATGGGTTGCGTGAGAGAGTCCAAGACAGCTGGGTCAGCAGGGAAGAGGCTTTTGCCTACCTCTCACCTGCTGCATTTGTTCTTAGACATTAGAGCAAATGAATCAGAGGTGAAGAACATCTCCTTCGATGAAATTGTTCAAGAGAGCAGCTGCAAACCCACCAGTTCAGATCTCCAAGGTGTGGGGGAGCTCCAGGAGCACTGTAAATAGTCATGGAGGTTTTTTGCTCACAATGTGACAGCACCAATAAGCATCCTAAATGGACAGGAATCTGATGGATGCATGAAATACGATTGCCAATCTCCAGATAGCACCTGGATCTCTGTTCCCCTGCTTTCTGCTCTTCACCAACTGTCACGAGCCACCACGAATTGCACCAAAATTCATGGAAGTTCATCATGGTTCTTTAGTTCATGAAACACAAACCAGCCAAAATTTGTGATGAACCTTAGTTCATTAGCCAGTTTGTGCCCATCCCTACTTTCAATGGCTGCTAGCAATGGTGACTGAGAGGAACGTTGCAGAGCTGGAAAAAGTACAGAAGAGGATAATCAAGATGATTAGGGGGTTGGAGAATGTTCCCTATGAGGAAAGGCTGACGAGTCGGGGACTTTTCAGTTTAGAAAACAGATGACCATGGAGGGACATGACAGAGGTCTATAAAATTATGCATGGGGTGGAGACACTTGACACAGAGACATTTTTCTCCCTCTCCCAAAATACTAGAACTTGAGGGCATCCAATGAAACTGATGGGCAGTAGGTTCATGACAGACAAAAGGAAAAGCTACTTTACACAGTGAGTGATTAAAATGTGGATTTTACTGCCAGGGGATGTAGTGTTGGTCACAGGAATATACAGCTTTAAAACAGGATTAGATAGATTCATGGAGGATAAGTCTATCAGTGGCTACTAGGCCTGGTGACTGAGGGGAAACTCCACATTCAGAGGCATTAAACCTCTGAACCCCAGAGCCAGGAGGCAGCATCAGGTGAAAGCCTCAACCTCTGTGCCCTGTTGTTCGCCCTCCAGGAGAACTGGTTGGCCGCTCTGAGAGACAGTGGGAAATGCTGGACTAGATGGACCATTGGTCTGATCCAGCAGGGATCTTCTGATATTCTTATGTTCCTTGAAAGTAATATGATTCGAAAAAGGTTCTGGTTTTTGGTGACTCACAAGTGGGTGCGCTCCATCATTGCTCTGATGTGAGTGGCCCGCAAACGTGCCAATGGGGAGGAGTCCAAGTTGTTCTTGGACCCCTGTGACCCTTTGTAGGAGGGTTGCAGCCTGGGGCGTGAGAGGTGCCCCTCCCAAGGTGGAATGGCGAGGGATTGAGGGGGCACCTCTTTGCCCCAATAGGTCCTCGCGGCACGGAGCCAGCAATGGCACCTAGAGACACACACCGGACCAAGCGTGCAAGAGATCCACCAGGACCAATCTTTCCTACTGCTTAAACAAAAGCAAGTAAGAATCTTTCCTACTGCTTAAACAAAAGCAAGTAATAGTAAACTTACTATTTAGCGAGCTGCCATCTGAACGTTGGGAGTAAAGCCGCCCCAAAGCCCCAAATAAGCGGAAGGGGGGGGGAAATCCCCACGTCCAAAGAACTGAGTTAAAAGCAGGAGGTGGGGCAGCTTGAAAAGAGCGGATGCTGACGGAGTGCAGTGCAGAGTAGCTAGAAAGTGATATTTTCAGACTTTAAGAAACTTTAAGAGACTTTTCAAAACTTCTTACTAACTATTTACAGTGAGCTAAAGGACCAGTAGAAATAGAGCAAAATAGAGACAGGGGGAAACTCAATGTATAACTAAATATACTGAATAAAGTAGACTAGAGTAGTGGAAAGAAAAAGGAAAGAAACCCTGGAAAATAAACGATATAATAAAATAATAATAAAACAGTAACAACAAATAAAGTTCAACAACAGAATTGAAGAAATACATGATACAATCAATAAAAGGGTAAGAAAAGCAAAATAAGAAAATAAATAATTAATTTATTTTAAATATATAGAAAATTTGTAATAACTGTAGATTATACGAATGGCAGCAGGAAGTAGTGGAACCAGTGGACTAAGAAAATCATCTATAAAATCACGAGGCCAGACTAACATCCACAGTCAACTAAAACTTAATACAATGAGTACAATACAAATAAATATGAAAGATCTAAAAAGTTTAATGCAAGAATGTAAAGTGGCAGAGATGAAAACATTTGCTGAAGTGACATTGCCACCCTTAATAAGACAAGAGATGGGACCAATTCAAACTCAGATACAGAACTTCATTCAACAAGCCACTACTGAAACAGAGGAAATAAAAAAAACAGACAAAAGAAAATAAACAAGAAATTCTAAAAATAGCAGTAGCTAACAATAAGATGGAAGAAAGAATGCAAGATATAGAACAGGAAGTCCAAGAAGTCAGAACAAAAACAGATGAGATAGAAGAGGCTCTTATGAGTCTAGAGATGGAAAAGGCCTTTCTAACAACTTCGTGTCAAAATGTGCCTGAAGCTATAGGGAAGAATATAAAGGAAGAGATAATCAAAAATAATTCTGAACAATTGAATGTACGAACTGAAGAAGAAATAGAAAAAGAAATAGATCAAGTATACAGAAAAAATAGCTCATGTGCCAGAAAACATAAAACACCTAGAGAAATATATATAAAATTTATAAGGAGAAATATGACGGATAAAATTTTGAAAGAATCAAATACAACTAAAGTAATGATACAGGACTCCGAAATAAAATTTCTAAAGGAAATACCATGGAGAATCCGGGAGAAAAGACACAATTACACAACATTAACAAAATTATTAAGAGAAAATGATATTCAATACAGATGGCTGGTCCCTGAAGGATTATTATTCATGTACAAGGGAAGAAGGCAGAGAATAGATTCAATTTTCAAATTGGAAGATTTCCTAGAAAGAAATGGAGAAAACTTGGGTTGGCAGAGTGAAGAGGGATCCGAAAGGGGAGAAGAAGATTCTAGAAAAGCAGAAAAAGAGAAAAAAGAAAGAAAAAGAAGAGGGAAAAGAACATATTTTACACCCTCACAGATGTTCAGTAGATATCAATATAGAGCAAAAGAACAAGAAAAAGGAAATAAACAATAGGATGGGAAATCAAAGGAAATTTAAAGTACTATCTGTAAATGTCAACGGCTTAAACAGTCAGACAAAACGAAGAAGAATTTTTCATCAATTAAACAAAATACAGTCAGAAATAACATGCATACAAGAAACTCATATAAAAAAACAAGATCAGAAATACTTAGAAAATAAGAAATTGGGCAAACTTTTTGCAGCTTCACACACACTAAAAAAAAGAGGTGTAGCGACATATGTTAGAGATCATTTAAATACAGAAATGATATATGCATCAGAAGATGGGAGAATATTAGCCACCATGATTACAAGACAACAGAAGAAATCTTTGATAATAAATATCTACGCACCAAACCAAAATCAGGAACAATTTTTTAAAAGTCTAAGAAATCTGCTAATACCTTATAATACAATAGAAAAATATATAATTGGAGATTTTAATGCAGTAGTTGATGGGAAAAAGGATAGGAGAACACAAGCTGCACATAGAAGAAAAGGAAATAAATTACCAAAAGAATGTTTAGAATTGATAGAAGAACATAGCATGGTGGATGCGTGGAAAGTGAGAAACAAAGAGAAAAGTGATTATACATTCTATTCGGCCAGACACAACTCTTGGTCACGGATTGATATGGTTTGGATGTCTACTATAATAATTCCAGAAATAATAGAAGTAGAAATACTACCCAATACGTTCGCAGACCACAGCCCATTAATGCTAACATTAAGAGATAAGCAGCGTAAGACAAGATGGAGAATAAATAAAAATTTAATAAAAGATAAGGAATTTGACAAAAAAATGGAAGAAGAAATCAAACTAAGAGACGAAATAAGAAAAGATCTTCTTAATTGGAAAGACCTCCAGATATCACTAATGGGAAGGATAGCAACAATTAAAATGAATATTCTTCCCCGTTTTCTATTTTTGGCACAAAATCTACCAATACTGAAAAGAAACCTATATTTTACAGAATTAGAAAAAAATCACAAGGAAATTTATCTGGTACCCAAAAAGAGCACAAATTAAATTAAAGATATTACAGGATAAAAAAGAAAGAGGAGGTTTGGGTTTTCCAAACTGGCATCTTTATTATCAAGCAGCTACTATGGGTTGGTATTGGATACAACTAGAAAATTGGAGAATTCTACGCCTAGAAGGTCATGACCTTTACATGGGTTGTCATGTGTACCTATGGTATGAAAAAGATAACATCCGTGCTAATTTTTACAACCATATTATAAGAACAGCACTAGTAAGAATATGGAAGGAAATAAAAGATAACCGGCGCTTGGCCTTCCTTATAGTCCAACTCTCGCAGCCATACATGACTACTGGGAATACCATTGCTTTGACCATGCGGACTTTTGTTGGCAGGGTGATGTCTCTACTTTTTATCATGCTGTTTAGGTTCACCATCGCTTTCCTCCCAAGGAGCAGGCGTCTTACAGATCTTGGTCTTAATATATGGATATACTACAGACAAAGAATTTTAAGTATACTTGTGATATGGTTTATACATTTAGTTAAGTGTCAATTGTCACAGTATTTTTGCTTCACTTTGCAGCCAGGAATAACAGGCACAGAAAATGGTAAGTAGCACGTTCTTCCGGGGATCTCCTTCGGGGGCCTCCAGGTGTTCCTACAGGGCTCCTCTGGGGTCCTACAGGGCCTTCAGAAGACTCCTCCAAAGTTCCTCAAAAGGGGCTTCTCCAGGGGCTTGAAAAGGTACAAAAGGTATGAGGCAGCTCCTCTTCATGGACGGATGAGGTGGCATGTCAAGTCGCTCATAAATTGCTAGTAAATTGCTAGTTTAAAAAACCCCTTGAAATGGGAGCTCGCACTCAATGCTCCCACCACAGCACCATTTTGGTTGGGCCTCTGAGAAGGCCTCAGTATTTTCTTTCTTACTGTTCCCTCAGTTAACTTGTATGCTGCTGTCAGAAGCCCATTTGAATATTCAGAATCTTGTGGCCAACCCAGTTACTGTTTTATAGCAGGTGGGGGGCGCCTATCTATCTACTAAATACTCAAAACCCTCTTGAGAATGCCAGAAGCTTTGATAGACCTTGGGGGGGGACCCTGGAGCCCCTTGGGTTTCCAGCCAAGTTTGTTCTAATGCCCTGAGAACTTTAGGGAAGAGTATGAGGATCATATCTTGAGGAAACAACCAGTTCTAGCTCTGTGGTCCCTCTACCCTGATTAGGTTGCCAGACCCCCTCGGTTGAGGCAGGAGTTCCCCACCACCAGGCCCCACCACCCTGATGCCAATCAGCTGGCCAGCAGGGGTGACTTATCTGGGAAAAGAGTGAGGCCCAGTTGATGTTGCAGTCACTTTTTATGTGTCTCAGAAGAGATGTCATCATGTCAATTACATTGGGGCAATGCTCCGGTATTTGGGCAAAAACTCTTATGGTAGAAGCCAAATTTACCATAGAGTTTTTGCCCAAATACCAGAGTATTGCCCTGACATCGCTACATGATGATGTCACGTCCGGGCCACATCAGAAGTAAAATCACTGCAACATCGACTGGGCCTCCCTCTCTCTCCTACTAAGTCCCCCCCCCATCCCCTGCCAGTTGCTAGGAGGGACCTAGCAACCCTAACCTTGATTCCTCCTCTTTTGGGGCAAGAACATTTTATCTAACCATTCTGAGTTTGCTGAAAAATAATCCATCAAAGGAGTAAGGTAAACAGCATTCTGCCTTCTCTGCCATTTGATGGTGGTCTCAGACTGAGTGCCTTGAGACAGCCCTGAAGGGTAATGGTATAATGGCATGCACAGTAGGACAGAAAGGTATCAGAGTCAAAGAAAGAGCCCTTATGCTGCTATTTGGTCTGCTTGCTAGAATAAAGAAGAAGAGATTGGATTTATACCCCCCC